CGTCAACCTCCTCCTACATGTCTACCGGAACTTCGGAGAGCATTGCTTTTTGAATGGTGTAATATCCCCCAAATTCAGATCGATAGTTTGATACTCAGCATGCTTAGGCGTTGTACGGACTGTATTGCATCGTCTGGGAGACATACAATGTATTAACAATCATACCAACCATGTAATATTGTTTTTTTTTTTTTTTTTTTTTTTTTTTTTTTTTTTTTTTTGTAATAGGTTTTTTTTTTGTTTTTTTTTTTTTTTTTTTTTTTTTTTTTTTTTTTTTTTTTTTTTTTTTTTTTTTTTTTTTTTTTTTTGGAATTTGCTCCAGGGAGAAAAAAATCGCTAATTGTTTTAATAATATCAAACATATAGCATCTTTTTATGCTCTTTACCTTTTGTTTAATAAATAATCTTTACAAATAAGTCAAATTTGTTTTGCTTCTAACTCTTCCTTTGCCTGATTTTGCATTATCCTTAATTTATGGACATGAGTGTAATTATCCTTGCCCATGAATGTACATAATGCTGAAGCATTTTTAATTTTCATCTAAATTCTGAAACTTCGATTTCAAATGAAGGACAATTATAGATGAAGAAGCAGATGTACAATGTGTGCAAAAGGAAATTATTTATCTGGCTCTGAAAAGGAAATTCATTACTTGAGAAAATACTTGAAAATTTGATGACCTACTATAGAAAACATAACTAAGATTAATTACTGTAATAATGAAATGATTTACTTCTCTGTTATTTATATTGCGGCAAAACAAAACAAAATGATTATTACTTAACGAGTTAGTCTTTAATACTGAAAGCCGTATAAGATTCCTACATAAATAATAAGTGCATAATAATGCTTATTTATATAATATCGATTACAGATTTTGTTTTTGGAAGATAAAAGACGGTATGTGAAGGTATTAATCTCGTATGCGTATTTGCTTTTTGAGATGAAATCGCTGAGTGCAAACTATTGTAAGGTTTCTGAATATTTTAAAGGAAATGAAGAAATTACTGTCACGAAAATATGAAACACGCACCTCTTAACTTTATATGTTTCTATGCTAAAATATGTTTGAGTTTGGAGGAGAAACTAAGGAATTATGAGTAAATGTATTGCCGAAGTAACGTTACACTTAATAAATTATATGCGTTTTCCCCTAACTAATATTTTATAAAAAGCATGCAAAACTCTCTTGTTGAAAACGTTTATTGCAGAATCAGCTTAAAGCTGAATTATTGCTCATATTATGTATAAGTCCTGGCTAGGAACCGGTTGGTTAAGAAGTCGACTAAATTCGATCCTACATTATTGGGCTGGTTGCATATTTGGTTTTTTGGGTTTTTCGCAAGTGTAAGATAAATATGAGCCAGTTTTCTTTAGAAGGCCTTCCATGGAGGCATATCTTCCTCTAAGCAGAGAGGTGTTTTGCAATGTTAAAATACATTATGTAGGGTTGTTTAACCTCAATTAATACACACGCGATACTTACAAACAAACCAAATTGTTGCCATACTGGGCAAGATATTTTTTAAACTGCCGTTCTTTCAAGATCATAATTTTCGTATGATAGGTTAAAAAAAATTAACTGCAGAATTTACAGAATGTGTTGGATACCTTGCATTGAAAACGTTCTAGGAAAGAAAGTGATTATTTAAAACTAAATATTAATGTTTAAAAATAGTTGTTCAAACGATAGTAGGCAAACCTGCTAAACTGCAGTCGCTTCCTAACTTAACCAAGATTAATTCGTAATGGAAAGTAAGGCTTGAAAATTTTAGTTTATTCCGTAGTCATTATTTTGACACAAACATTAATTTTATACAAGATTGCTCAATGAGTTTTTTCTTTTCAATTTGGTTTCGCGTAGTATTCCATACTTTTTTAAGTTTTCCAGTTCTGTAGTATGTAATGTATAAGTTGTTTTAAGGGGACGGTGGACTTTAAAAATTAGTTTTTTAAGTTTTTGTGTTTTCAACAAGAACTTTTACACATATACATATTATAACATCAGTTTATAAAATATATGTTCAAAATTTCAATTTATTTTAAATTAAATATTTTTAAAACAAATAATTAATTATTTTAATTAAAGATTAAAAATCCTCCTTGCTCTCTAATTTTCAATATTTGTTCCTAATTTTTCCTTTAAGTTAGCTATAAAGACTTAACAAAAGATTTTCTGTATCCGTTATTGAATATGATGAATCAAACATTTTAAAAAGGAATTTTGGGAACTTAAACCCAGGTTTCGGAAAAATATCACCTTTTGTTAAACATTATCACAAGTTTAAACTTCTTAATAACCTCATATCCAAAAGTGCATACATAGTTCTACTGTAACATATAACAAGATAGTTTCTTCCAAATATCATTAATTTTGAACTAAAAATGAGTCGCAGGGAGCATTTTCAAGACATAGGAACTGCCAAAAAATTTGTTTTGTGAAAACCGAATTTAAACTTTTTCTTCAAACTTACCTTTAATACATGGTCATGAGAAACAGCAAATTAACTTTCAATATGAATTTGTAAATACTAGATAACATTTTCATATCATTTAACTATTTTTAATATCATTATATTAAATATGAAAAATATAAACATATCTCAAATTGGTATGTGATTAAAAGTTATAGGGAGAAACAATTTATGCATTATATCCAATGAAACTTTTAAAATTCATCCGCACCATATGTTTTACCTTCATTTGTCACATTTACATTATGTTTTAATGCTTTACAATATTTTTTACTATTTCTATTTTTTTCCCAAGCAGGTAAACTTCTCTTTTTGCTTTGGTTCAAGCGACGTTGATCCTGCTTTTTTGCAACGAATAGGAAAAACGAGTTTCCCCATGCTCTACACGTATAGCATTTACATAACCAAAGTTGGATTCATTAATAGTTGTCAATCTTGACACTTCTAGTCTTTTTTTTAGAAATAAACACTTCTTTTGGGCAAATATATAAATTATAACTGTTGAAATACATTTTTTTTTTACATTTTCTCCAAAATTTAAAGGGCAAAGTTTACATTGTTTATACATTTAAATGCTTGTAACTTCTTTAAAAATTAGAATATTTGAATTCGGTGTTTTTGCATAAGATGTAGTTACATATATGGAATATTACGAGAGTAAAAAATCAAATTCAATATTTTGGTTGATTTTAGCTATTTTAAAGTCCTCCTTCCCCTTAGAATATTTATCCACTGATAAAATTTATTAGGAATGAGGATTCTCGTTAATACTCATCATAGTGTCTTATAATAGCACTTTGCTCTTTCTTGTACGCACGCATACGTATAAGCCGTAATAATTAAATTTTTTACAATATTTTTAATCATGTTAAAATACGTATACCAAGTAATCTTTCAGTGTACTTGTTAAGGGAATGATTAAAAAAACTATAGCAAATCAGGAGTTCGTCATGTGAAATAGAAATCGTCATCATGATCATTCATGATCGAGATCCTATTTTAGACTAAGCTACAGATCCATACAGCCTGAAAGAAATTTATTCCATCAACGCCTCTAGATATGATAACTTTGCACAGAATTACAAATTATCGAATATGCTTCGAATTAGAGAGCGAAGACATGTAAAATTTTGAAAAAAATCCTTATTTAAGAGTGAAGATAATTTTCAAGTACCTTTTGCATTGGAACTGAAATCCCACGTTTGTTGACAGACAAGCCATTGTTTTACCTAAAGGTATTATTTATTTCCGTACTTTATGCGAAATTTATTAAAGAATTTAAAGTTCATAATACGTTTAAATATAATGTAGTCTTCTTTCTTGCAATTCCTAAAAAAATATAAAGGCCAATTGGTCTGTATTTTACATTGAGTTATCTGAAGAACTATTATTATATTTTTAAAGGTGATATGCTTTTGCATTCTTGTACTTAAATTTGGAAAACTAAAGGAGAACTGATAGCTTATTGAAAATTTATTTGCTTATTCTTTGCCTCAAATCTAATCACCGACCGTTTTATCGATGGAAAAAAATAGTAAGACTTAATAAATTTGTGTCCATTAAGTGAATGCTATCCTTTCTTTATTAACATAGATACAAAAAGTGATTGAAATCTAGGAATAGTTCAAAATATTTTTCAACTGAGAACATAATTATTTTTTAGCTAAATGCAGTTTTGAGCTTTACAATAACTTAGCAGTTCTTTTGAGCCTATGTATTGGAATTATAATAATGTGGCTACTATAACTTTCCACTTTTATTTACTGTAAAATCTTTATAACAAATCGCTGGGAAAAAGATGTTTATGAATGAGAAGCTATCTTATTACTGTTCAGCAGGAAAGAACATTTTACATTACTTCAGTACTCATGATTTGCAATGATGTGTTGAAAAATGCTGTTACAAAAGTAGAATTTCCCCTGTCGCTTTATTTCCCAAATACTTGCAGTGTATACGATTAGTTTCCTTAAATCTAAGCTACATTTTTGCCTTTAATAGTACTATTTAATAAGCGCAAACACGCGGTTATGCAGAGTTGCACATGTGTTGCTGTGCAATTACTAGTCAATTCTGTTGAAATATTTTTTATAATTAAGTCCCTCGCTCGCAAATTAATAGCTTAATATGTTTAATATTTTACGCTGAATTTTAACATATTTATGTGTAAGATGTATTCGTCTGTGATACCCAAATTATTCTTGGTAGTTTCATATAAAACTGTTTTGTACTGAAATAGAAATATGGTTCGGTTTGACATTTATGATGTAATATTGTATAGCAATAAACAAAATCCTAACAACAAAGGCAACATTTATATATAAATTCCTATATTAATGTAATATATGAAAATACGAAAAATTGATATCACACTGAAAATTTATGTACTGATGCAGGGACCCAAGGAACTGACAGCCAAAACTTTAGTTTCAACTTCGAAGCAGCGCTTTATATTGACAAGGATCTCGAAAACAGAACTTGAAAAGTTCTAAAAAGTATGGGAATGATCATATGGAAAATGTCCTTACCTCAAACAATCACAAAGTTTATTACCTCACTGCCTCTTTAACTGCTTCCGTATACTCTTTAGACTACAAAATACTGCACATCCTGGGCTGACATCTAGTTATTAGCCGAAATAAACTTTAATGTTAAATTAAGACACCGGCCGCAGAAGCAAATTTCCTAGCCGCTTATTCGCTAACCTCACCCGATCGGCAACTAGCCGACAAGTAATAGCAGAGCTTGACTATCTCGATCTCTTCAGGGAGGGGCGAGTGCCTCGCGTGGATGACGTCACTTAGGAAACAGCGCCCCCTATTCGTGCAATTGTGTTTCCCCTTGCCCTCTTCTCTGCGTTCCCGAATAGATTGATTGAATCAGGGAAACACAAAGACGCTATCCGCGGAGCGGCGTCTTTCCAGGAAGCATTGTTGAAGTGGTTGTGATGCGGTGAAGTTTGCTTTAAAAGTGGATTCTGAGTCAGGATAGAAGTTTGTTTGTCAACGTGGTGGGTGGGGGAGATTCATTAAATTGGGAAAAGGCCTTAACGTAATCTACTGCTTGCATAATAAAACCAATTAGTTCGAGTAGTAACGTTCATTGAACTGTTTTTACTCAGAGTGAGAGAATTTCTTTGTCAGAATTTACTACAAATCCCATGGATTATTGAAAAATAAAGAACAGATGAAATTTGCACTAAATCCTGAAACTTAAACACACTAATTATAAATTTAGTCGTATTCTCACTAAAGCGTTTTCAAATAATTTGCCATTTTTAATTTAATGCGTCAGATTTCAGTTTAAAATCATTTTAATACTTCTTAAAAGTATTTTATATGTAGACAATATTTTGTCACATAAATATGACACAATAAAATTAATATCAATCTAGAAAGGTAACTTGTTACATAACAAGAATGTAATGTTATTTAACAAATGCTTGAAACAAAAATTAAAAAAAAGATAAATGTAATTTATATATTCTCTGTGCGCAAAACTGGTTTCTTTTTCCATCATTTTTAATTTCTCAGTTTTACTCTTTTTTCTTTTAATTTCTAAATAATTTTTCTACTTCTATATCACCTTAAAATATTTTATTATTTCAATTACTTAGCGAGCATGTAGAGGCATTAGGTTATTTCGAAGCAGGAGATATGAAAAATGAGCAATGCTCCTCATCGAGACTCGAACCGCCGACCTCTCGAATATGCGCCGTGTGTGCTCACCACTACACCACGAAGGCATGCTAAAAAGGAGGAGAAATACCTTATACACTTCCCCTTATAAAGGGCGACTGGGGATTAGAGGACCCAGTTGTCAAATTCTGGTGCTGGGGAATCATCATCTACCACCAATTTAGTTCGGGCGTCTTTGTAGAGACATTAGACTATTTCGAAGTAGGAGATGTAAAAAATGAGCAATGCCCTCGCCGGGACTCGAACCACGGACCTCTGGAATACGTGCGTGACCATTACACCACGAAGGCATGCTAAGAAGGCGGGATAAACACCTTACAAGCATTCTTTAATAATTGAAACTAATTAGTTAACACTAACCAGTTAGTTAACACGCTTGTTTCCTGCAACTTTATTTTACTTATTCCATAATTAATAAAAATGAGCTCACTAGTCGTCTAGAAAATAGGACCATTGAGCATTGGTAGTTCAATCTGGGGCCCCACTAGCAGTTGTGCAGTAAGTTTGCTAAATACTGGTAGTTCGACATGTGTTTCAATTCACGATGTACGGAATGGCGGCATGGTTGTTTTTGTATTTTTTTCTATGTGTAAAGCGGGTACGAGACAGTTTGCCTTAGGAAATCCTGCGCAAAAGCATCCCTCCCCTTAGGCAGATAGCCCTCGTGTACCTTGCCATAGTTAAATAAAGGAAATCAAACCAAAGTTAAATCTGAGTTCAAATTTCGGCTAGCTGGCTGAGTGAGAGTTTTCAAGGGTTTTGTTCATGCGTAATGTTAATACAGTTTCTTCTAAAGACCTTCCATGTAGGCATTTTCTCAGACAGGTACCCTAGCATAGCTTCCAACTCTTCCGTTTTTTAATTTTTAACTTTTATTAAGGAAAATTACAAAGGAAAATGTTTCCCAGCTCAAACGAAATTGTTGAATTAATGAAACTTTAATTGTGCAAATTTGGTTTCCTCCTCTCTAGTTAATTTCAGAGTAAATTTTTAGGATATTTTATATGTTCTGGATTGCGTTAATCTACTGTAGATATTTATCGAGATTTTTATGGAGATTAAGCCAAGTTTTAACCAATTAATATTCGTATTTAATTTTGTTTTACATCAGTAAATAGTAGAATGTTATGTATGTTACTTATTAATCTTATTTTGACATATTTAAAAACGTACTTTGATAAATTCTTTCCTACTCAGGATTTTATCTGTATAAAAAAGTAAGAAAATTATAAAGTGAAATTAGCCAGAGAAAATGCGTTTTAAAATACTAGTTAAACATTAATATATTTTAAATTAAAATAATATTATAAATAGTTGCGAATCATGCATTATAAAATAAACGTGTTTTGAATCTCCCTCGCCGACCATCCCAAAATCTTCACGAAAACTCTGTTTTCACGTTCAAGAATCTCTTGGTTTTTCATATTTCGAAGTTTGTAGCTATGCTCTAGTGTGCGTTGTCATATTTTAGTAAATCAAATACAGCAAAATGTGCATTCCTTCCCTGGATATTTGACAGGTCCAGAGAACAAAAGGAAATCACGCGTATTGGAATCCTTTCTTTCTTGAACTTACAAATACCCTTTGGCCCATGTAGAACAGAAATAACTCAATATGTATTGGTTCTAAAGATGCATAAAAGAAAAAAGGAAGTATCGTTGCAAAATTTCTTTGAATTAACATGCTACACCTTACTGCGAATCTTTCCTGCATTTCTACTGTTTTGTCCATTCCGTCAGAATGTGTAAACGAAGTGAGTATAAATAAGGAGCAATAAGTGAAGTTCAGGAGAGAGAGGGTTGACATCTTCGTCCTGATGTGCTGTAGAGTCATTACGTTATTTTGAAGCAGGAGATGTGGAAGATGAGCAATGCCCTCGTCGGGACTCGAACCTGGACCTCTTGAATACGCGCCGAGTGTACTACTATTAGACCACGAAGACGTGCAGAAAGGAGGGAGAAAATATTTTATATACTCCTTCTTTTAAAGGCTGACTGGTAACTGGGGGACCAATCGTCAAATTTGGGCGGTGAAGAATTATCATCCACCACCTATTAGTTCGGCGCCTCTGCAGACTCATTAGAATTTTTGGAGTAGGAAACACGGAAAATGAGAAATGCTTTCGCCGGGAGCCGAACGTGAACCTTTCGAATACGTGCCGAGTGTGCTACCGTTATATTATGAAGGCATGCGGGAAGGAGCGAGAAAAAACCTTATATACTCTCCCTTTTGAAGGGCGACTGGAGATTAGGGGACCAAACGTCAAATCCTGTTGGTGAAGAATCCTCATCCACCACATTTTTTAGTTCGAGTGTATTATTTTTTGAAGGAGGCGCACATGAAAAAGCAATGCCGTCGCCGAGACTCGAACCTGGACCTCTCGAATACCTGCCGAGTGTGCTACGGGTTACACCACGAAGGCTGCAGATAGGAGGGAGAAATTTACTCACCCTTTTAAAGGGCACGGCAAAGGCATGCGGAAAGGATGGAGAAAATACCTTATAGTGCTGCTATCAGTTTATCTTGCATTGAAAATACATTAGTAGTCATGGGGTAGTGATCCAGGTTCTTAGGCTTTAAATCTGTTCTTGTAAATAATTTGAACTATTGTTGTCTGTCCAGCCGTTAAAGTCAAAAATCAGTTTTGCTAACTGTTTTAATTTCTGTAATTTGAAGCTAAACAACAAATAAATCTTATAGTTGATTTTTATAGAATTGCAGCTGCTTAATTTGTTAATGATACCAAATTATTTGTACTTATTTATTTTTGGCTCCTATGCTTATTAAATAATTTTAATTTTTATTACCCAGTTATCATTTTTCTAGCCTGACGTTAATTAAGACGAACGACACTCAGTCCGACAGTATAAAAATTTTAGACTAGTGTTTAAATTAAGCGAAAATTAGATTTTTTTTTCAAATTTACATGAATTTATATCGTAAGTTAAAAAAAAAATAATTGAACAAAAGTTTATTCTTAAATTTTCAAAATACGGCAAACAGTTTCGAAAGAATCAGTTACACATTAAATATATGGTTATAATGCGGACATTGTTTATAAATGTAGATGGTTGAAAGACCGGAAAAGGAAAGAGAATTTCGAATACTTGCAATGATAGCTTAAAGACAGAGAAACAGGTTTTACAGGCACCAGCTAAAAATTCTGAATAAAATTCTCTTCAAAGGCTGGTGCTGGGGAGTTGCAAATAGTTCTCTTTTTATATGAAAAATAAGAAAAATGATTAAGAGAATTACATAAAAACTGATGAATATGAAGAACCAATTATTGCATAACATATGAATAATCTGTTTTATAAACTTTTGCTTAGCCCAATGTTTGTCGCTATGGTCAAAAGTTTGTCACCGATATTTAAACTACTTCCTGATAAGCTGTCACTGATCAGCGTCCGAGCGGTAAAGTCGCTTAACTAACTTGTTATACGTTTCGAATCCCGGCGAACGGGCTGACTGTATGGGCGTTTTGTGGTTTCTTACATTTGTAACGTGGATATGAGCCAATGTTCCTTGGAAAGTCTTCTATGAAGGCATCCGACCTTTTACACAAATCGCCCTCGTATGCTTTGACTTAAAGCAAATCCCAAATTTTATATATACTCTGTTTGTGGATGAGGGTAAACTAGTTTTTTCAAAATTCGATTTAGATTTTTTTTTTCTAATTTAATTGGTTAAAACATTTTTCGCGAATATCTTCGTTTCACGAACGAAACTGAAAAATATCAGAATTTTACTGTTTGCACTGTGAAATAGAGCGAAAAAATGTCTTATATGAAAATCTGTAACTTAATTTTGGGTGTTTTGGCGAATTTTTGAAATTTGCTTCGATTTTTTCCACTATTTGACTTTCATGATTTCAAAGATTCGACATCTAAAATGTATCTGCTAAGTTTTGAAACTTTAACAAATTATAAAACAAACTGCTTGCTTATTTTAAGATAAAAGTGATAAAAATGTATTAAGTAAGATACAATAACCCGCCGAACAAATATTAATTTAGA